CACTTCAACTCCGCTGTTTCTTTCACAATCGGTTATGAGTGCAACAAATCTCTTTATGTAGTTTGTACTCGTTCATTTATTTATTTGTATTACATATGTATGTATATATGTATGTATGTACATACATGAATATGTGGAAAAGGCATATTTACAAATCAGATCTTTTACCATCAGCGTTGCCGTTTTGCTTAAATTTAAGCAAAATTGATTAACTTCCTCCTGCCTGTTAAAATGTTAAGCCTTTCTTCGTTTTGCTAAATTTGCTTATTAAAATAGTCAAAAGGGATAATTTTCTTCAAAAATTCATGAAAAAAATTTTCAAATTGATTTTGGGAAGACTGTCACATCCAGATCCCATATAAAGTTCCCAATCTGCGGTCGTCGCTTTTTCAAACCTCCGAGTGTACTTCTACCATGAAATCGCTTCAAATTAATCAACTGACTATAAAGTCCTTATTTTTGACGACAAATCTCGACCTTAGAGAGCCTTTACTTACTTACCTGCTTACTTTTTATTTTTATAGCCAATTTACCAAGCTCAGGAAGAACAAACAGTTACTACAAGCATTTTTCATGTTATTAAGACCCGTTAAATAAGTTGCTTAATTTTAACGGGATTTGTTAAACTTTTTGAAAGATTTTATTAAATTTTATTTTGCGAGTGTGGCAACACTGACTACCGCCATCGCAGTTGTCCGTAAACGCAGTATGTACTATTTCGCAATTCTTCACACCATCCATATTGCAAAAATATATGTACATATATGCTAAATACTCGTACCTACGTTGCGAAAAAGTGGTACAAGTGGAAAACATGTTTTTAAATAAAAATAGGCATTGATGTGCTTATTTAGATGCAAAAGTTCGCTTCAAAAACAGAATTAAATGAATTAAATATACATTACTACATAATACTTAGTATACTTTTATGGCTATTATCTTATTCTCACCAATGGTGTTAAAATTATTCATATTGTCTACCCTGTCATAGACCATTTTAATTTCGACCACTTTATGTGTAGAAGTTGCCTGGTCACCTGTTTTGAATGTCCTCACAGTATCATATCGCTTGCAAGAGAGAGAAATGGCCAAGGACTAAGGTGCAGTACAAATTTTGAATAGATATACACATATTTCCACGATTCTAATTCTTTTGTAAACTGCTTCTAGGAAAACCACACACTGTAGATAGACAGTACTGTTATTATTCGCGCTCCTTGTAATTTCTACATTTTAATGCTATAAATATTTATCTTTTAATCACTAATTTGCCAGTTTATGCCATTTCACACTCATTCCCATAGCTCCTACATTCAGTGCTTCCAAGCAGATAATCAAGTTAACCATCAAATCATATGATAGTTATAGGTATATTCATTAGCAGCATCTTCAAAGTGCTTTTAATAAATCAAAGGCCGCTACCGTCGATAAGCAAAAGATAAATTCACAAAATCCAAATCACCATTGGCATAGGTATGCAAATATATAGTATTCTAAAGTATGTTATTCATCTTCTTTTCAGGTTGTATCCCGTAGCACACACCCATTGGTTTTACGAGAAATTGCAAATAAAGAGTCTTGCATATATCTTCTGTTTCCCTTTTCGTTTTTTTTTTCAAATTCTTATTTTTGTAGCTCTACCAAAGTTTTTCTTACCTTCCTTCATCGAATATTTTTTCACTACATTTCGGTCATAATCATTTATGCATACATATATCGTGCTTAAAGTACAAAACCACGTAACTGACATTTGTGGCAAAAAAGATATTTGCTCACCGGTAGCTCCTGCCATCAACCCCTTATCCATTCATACTAAAATATCGGAACTTAGATATAACAAATAATTTTTAAGCAAAAAAGGTAACATCCATAAAAAAAAAAAACAAAAAAAACCCAACGAACTGATAACCTCCTCCTTTTTTGGAAGTCGGTTAAAAAGAAGAGATAGTTAGGGACAAAAGAGAGAACCGTTTTGAAATAAGACAAGTTTACTTTCTCCTATAAAATTAAGGCAACCTTACACTACTACTAGGTTTTACATTTTCTTGATACGCGGTTTTGTACTTTAAACGACGATATATTTTATCGCCTTTCGCACTTCCAAGCAAGCTTTTTATTCATAAAACGTCAGCTATAAATGTCTGCGATTTTTGATAATTTTTTAGTCTTCTCGGTCGCTGTGACTGGTATTTTCTTACACCAGCAACAAAGTCCCAGTAGGGAAATCCAATATGTAGTATCAACCTGGTGCGATGCGGTGCGTTTTTACTGAAAACAAAAAAATACGATAGTAGAAGTTAGGGTTTTTGATTTAAATGCAATTATGGTGTTTTAACAAGAACATAAAATTTTTTACCGAAAAGTTGGCTTTCTGTATCCTGTTAATTGCGGTAAGCACAAGTAGCTTTTGCAACATTTAAATAAATTTTTCCAGATGCAATTTCTGCTAACAGGGCTATTCTGCATTGGTAACAAAAATTCTGTAACCTCTAAATAAAGTGCCTGTCAATTTTTAAACCCCTTTCGTATTCTGTGCACTCTTGTAAATTTGGTTACCATCTTAAAAGCTGGAAGCAAAATATTGCCCCGCGAAATATGCAATGCCATAGTTTCCACTAATCCTCATAGCTGATTTGCTGAATATTTTTGTAAATACGACTTTTTACTTTAACAAAACAAAGTGCATGTGTGCGTACACAAAATACTCGCGAAACCATCCTAGTGTGGTTTTGTCGATAATGTTTGTAAAGAATTGAGTGTTGAACACGACTTAAGCTCAGACTTTCCTGCAGGGTATGCGCTCACGTTTAGTGTTATTGATTTTATTTCTGCTTCAGTAACTTGCGGCCATTTGCGACATTTGTTGATATCTTTTGTATATTACCATTATAATCGCCATCACAAAGCCGGTCGCAGATATATTGCATTTGTTCGAATTCATAAAGCGAAATCGCAGAGGTGTTTAATAATGTCAATAACGTCACATGCACTGTCTATGTCTGTAGCAGCGGAATTGAAACAGCTTTATTATTTGATTTAATTTCATTTTTGTTGAGAAGAGGTAGTGGCACACGCTTTGTGTTTTCCGATTTCTCAATTGCATTCCAGTTATCAGCTAATTGACCTTGATTTTGACTTTTGACCCATATTATTAAGATTTCCTTTTGATAAGCTTTTTCCGAAATATTATTAATTGTATAAAGCGGCTGCGTGGCTGAGGGGTTAGTATGCCAACTGCCACTCGCTGAGACAAAGGTTCGATCCCTGTTCAGAGCAACATCCAGAAAGAAAAGTTTTTTTTTTCTAATAGCGGTCGCCCCTCGGCAGGTAATGGCAAACCTACGGGTGCATTTCTACCCTGTAAAGGCTTCTTATAAAAACATTTCCGGTTTGAGGGCGGCGTACAATTTTAGGCCCCTTCTTTTGTGTAACGCA